ATAATATAATAATAAAATAAAAAACTATTTTGTTTATATTACTTTGGTTTAATATTATTATTACTATCACAACAATCCCTTATTTGACTTATTATTTTGTTAAAATCTACATCTCTTAAATGAGAACTCCATAATATTTCAATATAACCATCTGATATAAACTCAGGAATTTCTATATTTAATGTATTAAGATTATGTTCTTCATCTAATAAATATACATCTTTTTCATTTTAAACAGTTCTTTTTTTAAAACTATATGCGAAATCCATATAGCCTAGAAATATTACAAATAAGAAATTTCCTTTATCAAAAAAGCTTAATTCAGTATTGCTTGGTTTATTTTTAAGACAAACAAGTATTTTTTTAAGTTCTAAACACATAATTAATTCATGTTCTGTAAAATCACATGCATCACATTTAACAGTTATTTCAGATTCGAGTTCAACTTTAACTTTTCTAGTGTCAAATTTTATTTTACAAAGATTTTTATTAACCAATAAATCACTAATCAAGATATCAGAAGATTTTTTATGAGCAAGATCTTTATTACAAAGTTGTAATATAAAGCTTTTAATTTTGAGAGAAGAGATTAATGAAGTAATTCTACTATTTCTGTTTTCAGTTGTTAGAATTTCAATAGTTCAAGTATAATCTTCACTTTGTAAAATTACAAAATTAATATAAATTAAAATATTATGTAGAATAATATGTTCAAATGGAGTAAAATTTTTTTGTGTTTGATAAAGTCTAATTGAAAGTATTCATGTATATAATGGATCTACAAAAAATGTTCTATTGTTTTCTGTAACAGGACCAAATACTTCTGTAATAATTTGTGTTCTAGCTGGTCTTGAAACTTAACAGTCATTTAATTTCTCTTTGTCAAAATAGTATCTGATAGTATATAAAAATGAATTTACTTCTTTTTTGAATTTGTTTTATTGTATAGTGTTTTTTTTGATGATTGTTTTTTTACTTGCAGCATTTTTTATTTTTACATTTATATGAATTACACTTTTTTACTTTTCCAACTGATTTCACGATTTGTGTTCTTTTTTTAATAGCAGTAGTTGATTTTCTTTTTGTGATTGTATTTCTTAGTTTTGTTGTATTTTTGATAGTAGCTTTTTTTACAATCTGTTTTTTCTTACTGGATGCCACTTTGTCTAAATAAATCTATAAAAAAAACTATATTGTAAAATATTTCTCGCACTAGAATGTTTGAATGTGATAATATATATGATATAAACTTAAAATCAATTTCAACAAATTTAATATGCAATACAAATATCGTGTAGATAATAGCTATTAAAAGAAATATATATAAATAAGAAATTATAATATCAATTTTTAATTTGGATTTACTATATTGTTCACACAAATCAGAATAATCTGCTATTTAATTTTTTTGTAAAAATTGAGAGGACTCAGATATTTATATAGTTTCTAAAAACTCTAATCCATTTTTCAGATTTTTAGGACTTATTTTCCACATCTTTGCAATTGCTTTCATTGTTTCTATACTATTTTCATATTTTGATCACTTAATCATAATTATTTTTTATAAATTGTTGATATTTTGTTGGTTTTTTTTCTTTTATCTCTTTCTCTTCTTGTTCATTTTTTTTTCTATATTTTTTTACTTTTAAATCATTAATATTGTATATAATATTAGCAAGTTTTTCTATATTATTAAGATTTGTTATTGTATAATCAGGATCATGACCCAATATTCTTTCAATTAATTCCTATTTAGTTTTTGATTTTTTCACAAACTGTTTTAGTTTACTATTAAGAACTTTACTTATTTTTTACTAGAAAAAATTATAAAAAGAGTTACATATTTATATGATTTCAAATTATAGATGAAATAAAAGAGTTATTTGACAAAGTTGATGATATTATCAAACTCATAGAAGATGATAAAGCAGATTATTTAGAATCTCTAAAACAACTAAAAGAAACATGAGTCAAAATATTTCATAAAGTTGAGGAAATGCTTCAAGATAAACAAAAGAATATTGATGCATTAATTATAGTAAACAATTTTTTATCAACTGAATCCAATTACTACAAGACACATTGGTTTTCAAAATTATTTGACGAAACATCTAACTGGTTAAAAGATCTTATTATTGATTTTGTTGACCAATATACATCTGAACTACTTAGACAATTCACAAAAATTTCTGTAGTTAGAGAATATTTATTTAAATTTTTTTTTAAATTTGTTTCATTGAGAACAACTTCAATAGTAGTTATTTTTTTTTAGTTTCTGTTAACATTTCGTTCTATTAGGATTATTGAATTATTTATTTATAACTTTTGTTTCTTTATATTCGGAATTCATTACATAAATTATATATTCAAAATAGATATGATTTGTTATATAATATAATTTATGTTTTTGCATTAACAAGATCAAAAAGAATTGTAAAAATGCTTCTAAAATACATCAATGTAAGCCAGAGACTCACATTATAATAAACAAAAAAAATTAATAATCACAGAATTGTTTTGTAGATTTCTTTATGATCTCTTTCAATTAAAAATCCTGCAACTTGTGTATATAACCCAATTATCAAATATAATACAAATATTGTTAAAAAAAAATTTTCATAACAATATTTATACACATAACAACCAAATTTCCAAAACCCATAATACATATAATATACTTCTGAAAATTGCCATATGAAACCGATAAGCTATAAAAAAAATCAGTTATTAACAATATATTAAACAAATTAAATTAATTAATTTAAGGGTAGAGTCTGATGTAGATCATTTGTCATATGATTTGCATGTCTGATTAAAATTTTTATAAAAAATTGA